TTCCTTTTTGCTATGAGCTTTTATGGAGGTGAGCAGAAGGCCCTATTCTCTCCTTGTAAAGGCCCTAAACTCCTTAGTGGGGGTCCTAGTTACATAATCTCATGCAAGTCAGATCACCTCCCAGAAGCTCTGCCTCTGAGTATCATCTCATTGGGATCAGAGCTTCAACATAGGAATCTGGCAGGGTTGGGAGACCCAGTGGACACAGTATGTTACTGGGTGCACCGTCTCCATCTCTTCACATGGCTTTCCTCCTTTTGTCTTCAGTGAGAGTTATATGGGTCCATCTTCTAATGTTAAACCAAACTTGCATTCCTTGGAGTGAAGTGGATGCCATTTTGTCATGCATCATGCTGTTTGCCCCGTTACACTCAACTTACTAGTATTTTGACCCATTTCTGCTCACTCGTGGGATTAATGTATGTTTTCCCGTTTACTGTCCTTGTGAGTACATGGTATTCATCTCAAACCACTGCAGGAGCACACTTAGAAACAACCTCTGTGCACCATCTCAGATGCCCTTCGTTGTCCTTCTTCCCCACATGGTTGACACCACACCCTTTCCAGGTTAGCCTGCCGCATTCAGGCTCTCCATGACTCGCATCTCATCTCAGGCCATCGGTCCAAATTCTTCAATAACTATTGCAGGGTACACACTGTGACAGAGTAATAGCCCTTCTTGGAAGAATGTCACTCAACAGAAATAAGGGGGTGGGGTCTTACCTGATAGGCCAATTGCTCCCTTTTCTTCTTCCATTTTTAACTACAGGATTTTCTTCCTCCTTGCAACATTTCCAAGAGTCACGTATACTGAGTGACCTCAGGTAACTAACTCCGAATGTTCTAAGCTATGAAATTTTCCAAGTACTGACTCGAAGCTTCAAGTGAAAATCCCATATCTAGCCAACAATGACAGCTCAGAGCCAGCATGTAAGTGCATCAAAATGTGTAAATTTACCTCCAAATGACATAAGAAAAATGCATATGAAACAAAAATGAATCTCCTTTGACTTGAGTCCCTCCAAGATCTCTCGTTATGTCCAAACATTTAAAAAATCTGAACTACTTTGGACCCTGCATGTTTTGGGTAAGATAAAGGACCATGATTTTAGCATGGCAGTCTGCAGAGAAACACATGCCACATGCCAATGGCTTCTAACACCTGCAGCGTCCCTCTCGTTCATCTGCTCGGAACTTGCATCTCCTATATGTTAGCAACTTCACTTTTCACTCAGGCTCTGCAATCTAGAAGATCTAAGTAAGCTAAAGATCCTGTATGTAAGACTACAGGATTTTGTTCCTTGGGCTTGTGTGGTACCATTAGAAAGTACTGCCTCATTCTCTGTAATGATTTTAAGGTCACCAGTCCTTTTCACTCTTGTCTTCATGAGATAATTTCTGAAGTTATCTACTAACAGTTAAGTCCTTTCTCTGTATTTCAAAGTGAATTGGCATAAAAACTAATATAATATGTTTTTTTATTATCTATCGTATTTTCATGTAAGATTTGTAATGATGTCCCATTTCCCCGTTGGTATTTTGGCACTCTTCCAAACCAGACAGCGTTCTGAAGATTTCTCTGTATGTTTGAAGGGTCACTTGAACTTTGGTTGACCTGTTTGTTAAGTCACCGTGAGTCTTTCCCCACTTCTTTTCTCTCTCCCTCCTTCCTTTCTTTCTTGTATTTATTTTGTTCTTTAACTTTGGGAAGTAAATGCCTACATGTTCTACAAGTGTTAGACTGAATGCCTCCTAGAGACTAATTTATCTACATTATACATATATGTACATGTATACGTATGGACACACACACACACACACACACACACACACACGCATGCACGCGCGTGTTTTTTGAGAAAAGAATTTTTCTGTGTAGCCCTGGCTGTCCTGGGACTGACTCTGTAGACCAGGCTGGCCTCCACCCAGTTACATTCTATGTATTTTAATACACAGCATTTTCTTACCTTTATTTTTGTTAGGGTCTCACACTAATGTAGCCCAGCTTGGCCTCTGACCCACAGCAATCCTCCTGCCTTAGCTTCCTGAGTACTAAGATTACAGGCATGAGTCACCACACTCAACTTCTTATCCTAAGGCTAATTTAATATCCAAGACTTCTTTCTCTTATGAATTAGAATTGTTTACCCATCCTGAGGTATAGTTTTTTTAGACTTTCTTTATATTGATTTCTACTTCAATTGTATTAAGACCACAGACTATTCTATTATAGCAATTCTTTGATATATAGAGATTTGCTTAATTTGCAAGTGTGTTTTTCAAGTTGTTCCCTTAAATTTGAAAAAATGGGGGTATATTGTATACGCATGCACATTCACTAATGAAAATGTCTACAGATGTCTTTATACAGGCTTCTTTCATTCATGACGGGGAAACGTGCAGGAGTTTGACTTTGGGTACTTATTATTGTTTCATGTCCACTATGGCAGAATTATCATGGGCACACTTAAATCTAGAACACCTCTCCAGGCTCCTACCTCCACTTCTAGACTAAGGGGAAATCTTCAACATGGTCCAATCAGGAAAGCTGGGTCTTTGCTTCTGGAGGATGGAATCAGACTGCGGACCTGCCCAGTCTCCAGTCCACAGCAACTAGGAGACTATGCCTTGCAGCAAACCTTGAGAACCTGAGTCTGGGTTAGATAATAGAGAACACGCTGGCACACCGGGCACCCTGCTGCAACTCAGGATTTAATAACCCGACGGAAACCTGGTGCTAGTTCTAATGTGCTGCCAGGCAGCCCTTTGATGCCTGAAGGAAGGATGGTCTGGAGACCATACTCCTGGGATGAACTGGTAACTCAAGACTAGAGTGACCACCTCCTATGCATACCAAACTGCATTTAAAGCTATAGTGAATGGGGACCAATATTGTTGAGAAACTCAGTGGCTTGCAGGCAGGGCTTGGTAGTAGAGGATACTGGTATAAAACTGTGTGGAGGTATTTGCTGATGGCAGCGAAGCAGAAATGACAACAGGGGGCAAGGAATGATAGCCAAGGGGGGCAGCCCACAGTCATCTGGGGAGAGACTAAGTAGACAGGCAAGCCAGGGGTGAGGGAGAACGGCAGCCAAGTGTTCTGACTGGGTGATCAGATTCAGCAACCAAGATGACTGGGGGTGAAGGGCTTGTTCAGCTCGTTAGAAGGACCTGAGTTTGACCCCAATAACCATCATTATAAAACGAGATAGGTGGTAGGATACAGTTGTAATCCTAGCCCTGGAGAGGTGGAGACAGGAGGACCTCTGGGAATCACTGGTTTAGCCATCTGGCTTCGTCAGTGAGCTTTAGGCCTGAGGATTATTTCAAAGGAGGCAAATGTTCCTGAGGATGACAGCTGAGGTTGTCCTCAAAACGGCAACCCACCACCACCTAAAAATACGCCCCTTCCTAACTCTGTCCGCACACTGCAGACTGCTGATAGAAAGGAAAACTTGGGGGCTTGAGGAAGGGTGGAAAGAGTTGTGACCACTTATCAAGGTATCTACACACCAAAGAAAGAGAAACTACCCTTTTAAAGTTACTGAACACGGGGCCTTGTTTTATGGCTTAGAGCGGGATGGTAAATTTCCCCACACACATTGCAAAAAGCCAGAAAGAAATTCTTTGTTTCTATGGACTGCAGGGTCTTTATCATGATCAACTCTGCTGCCACAGCACGTAAGACACAGCAGAAGACTAACAAATAGTAACGGCCGCATCCCGGTGAGACTTTAGACAGTGGGCCACTATGCCTGGCTAGTTTCCTGACTGCTGGCTTTGGGTACGGCCACTATTCATAAAAAGTCTGCATGTACTTGAAAATAACTTACAGCCACCAGCTGGGTGCTTCCTTTTGTACTTCGTACATTACAACGCGCTCTGCTATCAAATTTTGATGTTCAAATCCTCTGTGCTGAACATGTGTGCTTTATAATTGAATGTTTACAAGCCACTAGGGTCATCAATTTATCCACTTTGTACTTTTAGCTAGATTAATGGGGACATGTTAGTTTTTACATTTTATTCCAAATCAATCCAAACCTGTACCATTGTGAAGCAATCCTCCCTGGCAGAACTTATACCTTCAATGATAAAATTTGAAGATAAAGGAAGTTGTAGTAGTTTTCCTTTGGGGTTCTGCTGTCTGGCACCTATTTTTCATATTTACATTACGTATTATAAATAATTATTTACTAAATAGCAGAGGTCCGCTCTCTCCTTCCAACCTGTGGGCCCAGGGGATTGAACTCAAGTACTCAGGCTTGGTAACAGGTGTTTTTAACCCACTGAGCCATCTTGCCAGCTCTATTTGTTATCTTCAATCTTTCTATAGTTTTTATGTCTTTATTTAGCTCCTTATCAATAGTGCAGAGCACAACTTTCAAGTCTTAGCTTCTTGGAGGTTAAACTGAATGAAAACTTTTGCTGAAGAGTCAAGCAGTCTTGCCATTTCAACAACTGAGACATATCTGATGAGGCACTGGACAGATCAAAGGCATCTTCGTAAAGTTTCACAAATTCCCACTATGGATTTTGACTGGGCTTCGTCAGTCACTCAGAAATCCTACTGCAACAGCTAATTTGGCTTTCTCTATGTGTTCATTAGTGCCCTGAGGCAGCGAAGCACTGCACCAGGAATTCCCAGGGAAGCTGCTTGTCCACTCAAGTCTTCCCACCCTCCCCCATGCTTCCTGGATGCCCTCATGCACCACTGCTGGTCTTCCTGGTGTTTCACTCTTCCCTCCATCCTTCATATAACCCCCCCCACACACACACACAAGACACATTTTAGAGTGGGCAAGATGTCTCAATGTGTAGAGGCACTGGCTGCCAAGCCTGCTGACCCAAGTTCAAATCCCTGGTGGAAGGAGAGGATTGAGCAGGCCATTGGCTGGTGTGGACTTCCCACCCCAACAAAACAAATGTAACTTAAAAAAAAATAATAATAAAAGACAGATTTCATTCTCAACAGCATAGACTTTTGCAGATAAGAAAGGTGACCCACACTTTCATTTTCTTTATTTTTCATTGATACCGTATGGATACAAAGTTTCTAGAAAGCTACAAAATGTCTACCACTTTATCAAGAAGGCATCAAAATGTGTCACTTTGCAAAGACATGAAAACACCTGCAGGAACTGACACAAAAATAGCATTTTTAGAGTGATGAAATAATTGCACTTAACTGTCATGGATATTAAAGTTATCACACATATGTACCGCGAAAGCTAGAATACATTTTTTTTTTTACAAAGCACTTTATAAAAAAATTCTCTGCACACAAACCCTATAATTTTCATATAACTATCATACTAAAGATAAATTCACTTTAAAGCCAACACTTAGAACATTTTTAAACAAAAAGGTACCAGTACCTAAACACAAACGTTAACGAATACAAGAACACTGTACTGCCGGGAGGTTGAGCCTTTTGAAAGTTCTGCCAACAGTTTAAGAGAACACATGAATGAGCCATCCCACCCTCTTCTCAATGGTCTCCCAAGAGGAACCCAGTCACCTGGGCCCAGGTTCCGGCCCAGTCCCAGCAGCAATACAGTATCACAGGAGCCACTGACCAGATGAAATGCTTACACCACAAGCCCATCCTATACACTTTACACGAGAGACAACAGAGAAGCCATGAAGTCGCTTAGAATAAGAACGAACACATGTGACAAAAACCAATTTACATAAAACTTGAGCGTATCAAAGGAGTAAAGGCTTTTCAGGTTTTTAAAATGTTACAAAAAAGGTTTGTTGGTTTTTTTTGTGTTTTTGTCATTTTTCAGGCACGTACTGTTTTTGTTTTTACTGTTTATTTTCCTTGTCTGAAGTCATAAGCCCACTGAAAAAGGACTACAGAAGTTGATCTTTCAAGGAGGTGACAGGAGACGTACATCTTTTTTTTTTTTTTTAAATTAGTGCAGTTCATAATCTAGTTTACACATTGAAACTAATCACAGAAAACAATTCAAAGAATAAAAACACCAAGCAAAACTCATAGATAGGCTTTCTAAAATGATGGATGTGTGAATTCTGCCCGCCTCTCTTAGAGAGAGGGGAAACAGAATGTCCATGGTGAAAAGCGACAAGGGTCAGGCAAGGCTGGAGTCTAGTGGGACCTGACCCCGTGGTCAGGAACAAGGGGGACTCACACAAACACGGCTTCTATCTAAAATGATGTAGTGTGGGGCACAGGATCCAAAGCAGAGTCACGGAGAAAACAAGTCACGGCTTAGGAGGAAACAATAAATACAGATATCTCATCTTAGTTAATGGTGCATGACTTCAGTGAGGCCTACCCTTTGCAACACAGTAAATTTTAAACACAAAACCTTCATTTTTAAAGATATAAGCAAGGAGTTTAGGAGAGAAAACTACCACCAAACAAGACGGCTAGAAGGAGGCACAAGAAAACACACATTTGACTAATTTCTTCAAGTTGTGGTATGTTCCTGCCAGGGAGGAGTTCAAGACAGCAAACTGCTAACTCTAATCTGTGCTGAGGAAGTCTCCTTTTCATTTGACAGTTGTTTTTCTTGAAACAAACAAACAAAAAACAACACAAAAACCCCAGGACTTTTATACATACTCACAACTTGGGGTGGAGAGAAATCACTTCTGCAGTGTCAGAGCCCAGGGTGGCAACTCGTTGGGCACAGGGAGGGCAGAGAGGACGGGTGTGGTAGAGTCTCAGGGCTACCTGCCCAAGCTGTCTGTCATTACCTTTACACTCACATAAGCAAAAGGATATAAAACAAAACAATTAACTATTTCTTTCCTGGCTTCTTTTGCCTCCGCTGTTCTTTTCCTTATCGTATGGGGTTCCCAGATGCACAAAGGTTTTACTCTAAGCTGACACAGACTTCAAAGAGTTGGCTCTCTGAGGACTAGGACATTCTTGAGAATGCCCAATTGCAAGTGGTGTGCTCTCTGGAAGTCTCTCACAGCACATTCGGATATTCGGCTATCCGGAGCCAGCAAATCTGCCCAGAGACACTTCAACTGCAATGACCCTAATGAACCCATTTGTAATTTTTTTGTTCTGCACTGTCATCTCGACGCGAGGCTTCCAACAACCAAATGTGTAAAGCAGGCAATTGCGCACGGTCGTGCCAGTGGGCGAGAGTCTCCACAGACTGGACATGGACACGGGGAGAAGGCAAAGCCGTGTGGTGTCTGTCCACCGGCCGGGAGCTTGTGCGAGAGTTCCTTCCCAGGGATGCTGAGCCGGGTGACGAGTTGATGGACACGCCGGATAGTCGGCACACACAGACACAAGAGTTCGCGGGCTTCCCCGCTGCTGCACTGTGCTGCAGGTGAGTGGTGGTGGGTCCCCACCGGCAGGCGGGGCCCCACGGCGCTCTGACGAACACAGGCCTGTGGTTGGTTACTCACCCCGGTTAACCAAAGGCATTATGGTGATCTGGAAATATTTTTGGTCTCTCTACAAATTGTCGGTTATTATGGTGGCACTTTCTAAGCTGGAATCTCGAGCCAAAGGCACTTTCATGCTGGAGTGCAGAAGATTCACAAATAGCTAAGTATTTGGTCAGGAATTGAAAAAGGCATCAATGAGAAGTATAATTCGCTCTCCAAGGGAAGCTGCGGAGATGCAGTCTTCAGTTTTGGTATGGATACGTCCGTGAGAGCATGATCAACTAACTGACTTGGGTTCTGCCTTAGGTTGTTTGAAACCAAGTCATCAGCTTCCTCTAGAGCTGGATTTCAAAAACGGGCTTTTGAAACACAAATGAGAATGATTTTGGCTTGTCCTGCTTCGGATATGGGGCCAATTAGCAAGTGGATACCGAGAGCAGGCTGAGAAAAAGGCTGGCGGCTACAAGGTATTACTAAGGCACTGCTTTACTGGGAGGCTTTGGCAGCTGTGAACTGAAAACTATGAAAAGTAACAGTAGTAAGAGAAGTGCTTCCAGCTTCCAGAAGGGCTCACGGTTCCCAGGCAGCCTGCCACACTGACACCCTACGATGGGACCTCTCAAAGATTTAAGGCTTTTCAGGAATGACACGTGCAGGCCTTAGCCACAGAAACATCAACCCTGAAGCCGGCAGCCCACACATCCTCCTGTCACAGGTGAAGACACCAACGCGCAGTTATCCTACCCTTCCTCAGGACAGACGTGGGACATCAGAGCATACACAAAGTTATACAAACTACAGGTACCTGGTTTGTAAAACTGACCATCATGTGACTTCAATAACACAGAGTTGTATAAAACCGATGGCTGATGCCACTATGGTATTGAAGCCTAATGAAGACCAGGATCTCACAGTCCTCTAAGGGATTTTAACACCAAAGGTTCTATTTTGGCTGATGTGTGGGCAGGACTTTGTTGCTGGGATGGGTGGCAAATAGAAATTTGACTCAAAACCTGTGGCTGGAGAACTGTCCTCCAAGGGAGCGAAAAGGTGCATCAGCCTTGCCATCTGCTACATGGGGATCTGACCCGACCCTGTCCATGCATTCTTAGGGAGCACTTAAAATACAAAGCACCAAGGAAAGACGGCTTCCACCCAGGAGGGGCTGAAGCTGAAAGAGAAGCCCTCACCCTTGTTCTGCGACTGACTAGCTGGGAGACTCTGGACTAGGTCCCTGTCACCCCCTCAAGGTGAAGGGAATAGACTGTGCTCTCTTTCAGTTTGAGTATGGAGCTCATTCTGTAACAGACCTAGGCCTGCTCCATCCTAAAGAAGGAAAAGATACAACAGAGAGCGTGGACCATAAGGCAGACAGCAGAAGCAGAAGCAGTGTAGAGGGGAGACACATCCTAACAGGTAAAGGAGGAGACTGAGGGAGGTTTGTGAGAAATGGCCAAATCGGGGGGGGGGGGGGGGGGGGGGGGGGGGCAGTGGAGATGGGATTTTCTCTCTTTAAGCCCTGGGAAAGTAAGGGATATAGGTCAAATCAGAAATGCTCTTCAAATACGAGTCTGATGGCTACAGATGCTGCCTAGCCGCCCCCAGCTTTCCCGGACAGGAGAGAAAGAGCAGCGGCAGGGAAGAGACGGTGCTTGTGCAGATAAAGATGCTGAGCAGAAGGAAGGGTGTGCTGTTGAAGAATACCACCCATTTGCCTCTTCCTGACCTTAACTGGGGCGGGGGTGGGGGGAGCACTCACTCAAAGGACAGATTTCACAGAGTGGAGAAAAACTGGTTATCAGTGATTACAGCTACCTGGTTATCTGACCAGTAAGAGAAACTGACACTGAACGCTGTACAACCCGGAGTAATGAGCTGTGGCAACTGCAGAAATGGACAGGAATTCTAAAAACCACGAACAATGCACAGGGTGATGGCCAATTAACCAGTCCAAAATGTCCCTGGCCTCCAGTTAGCTGCTTTTGGGTTGGCTTTAGATTGCTTTCATTGGAAAGACAGCCTCTAAACTATGCAGTGACTAAGGAAGATGTCTCTATTATGTCTCTGGCAGATCTGTCCCGCAGTCACCTTAAGACAGCACTGGGATGGTTAGGGTGAGGGCAGGGCTCACCAATGGCATCCGTAAGGTTTAAGAGCCAAGACGGATTAAGAGACTGGGATTAGAGGTTAGTACATGGCACCTAACCCCCATCAGGCTTTCACTGGAAAAGTAAAGTGACTCTGGGTAACTGGGTCACTGATTAAGAGAGGGAAACTCTGGAAGATGTGCAAAGCTTCTAACTATCAGCACTCAAGACAGAGCAGAAAGGCTGTAAGAGCAGGAGGTGGGGTGGGGTTCATGGAGCAAACCAGTGTCTTCTGGACACAATGGGAACATTGCATCACAGACTCACAGCAGCTGTGAGAACAAGCTGGTCAGCATGCCAGCACCAAGTAGCTATTGACAGTTGATGTCTTCTGGGGGAAGAGAAGCCAGTTTAAGGTTTAAGAGTGTGTGTGGTTCCTAGCAAGCCAACCATGTTCCATGGGTATCCCCACACCCATGAGTTTAAGAGCAGCACAAACTGGCCATGTTGGGTGTGCTGGCTAGTTTTGTGTCAACACAGGCTATAGTCATCTGAGAAGAGGGAACCTCAACTGAGAAAATGTCTCCACAAGAAAAGGCTGTAGGGACCCTGTAGGGCATTTTCTTAATCAGTGATGGGGGAGGGAGGCAGCCCACTGTGAGCAGTATCATCCCTGGGCTGATGGTTCCAGGTTCTACAAGAAAGCAGGCTGAGGGTGGGGGTGGTGGCACATGCCTGTAATCCCAGCACTCAGGGAGGCAGAGGCAGGTGAGTTTGAGGCCAGCCTGGCCTGCAGATTGAGTCCAGGACAAGGCTACATAGAGAAACCCTGTCCCAAAAAAAAACCAAAACCAAAACCAAACAAATAAGCAAACAAACAAACAAACAAACAAACAAAAACCCATCAGGCTGAGCAAGCTATGAGCAGCAAGCCAGCAAGCAACACTCTTTCATGGTCTCTGGTTCCTGCCCCGACTTCCCTCAGTGCTGGACTATGATGTGGAAATGTAAGCCCAATTTATTCCCCAACTTGCTTTTGTCATGGTTTCTATCGTAGCAATAGTAACACTAACTAAGACAGTGGGTTATCTTCTTCTTTAAAGACCATAAAGAACTAGAAGTTGGGAGGGATGGAAATATGGGAGGGGGGTTAAAAATAAGAAGGTAGAGAGAGGAGTGAAGAACTAATTTAAGAATTTTACTGGGTTTGGTGGTCTGGAGAGATGGCTCAGCAAATAAGAGCACTGGCTGCTCTTTCAAAGGACCCAGGTTCAATTCCCAGCACCCATATAGGAGCTCACAGCTGTAACTCTAGTTCCAGGGGATCTGACACTATCACACACATACAGCAATGTGCATAAAACAAAAATAAATCATTTAATTTTACTGCTGTTTTAAGAGCAAAAAGTACCTCAGGGTCTTTCAACCTCCCCCAACGGCAGCAGACACAGTACCCCAACTCTGCTAAGTCATACCCTTCCCACTCCAACCATTATCGTCTAGCTGGTACTTGGGAAAAAGAAGTCCCAGAGCCTTGGTGGTACAGAGGGTGAGCTCTACTTCCCCATCACATTCTGAGACGGCCTGGCCTGAAGCCCGAGATTATCTGTACCCATTCATATTGTTCTGGTCTCAAGACAGGAGAGGGTTCCTCTTGAGGAAGGGCATAGGACGTCAAAGCTAAAAACATCCCTCAGGGGGTTATCCACAAGAGTAACACATAGGAGGATGTCACACAAAGGAGACACCCTTAAACACCTGGTCTGAGGACAGACACAGGGAGGAATTCAGGGTAGCCATTTCTTTGAGGGAAGGCTTAGAAATAAGGAACCAAGGCAGTTCTCCTGAAGAGAAACCATGCCCACTGGCTTACAAAAAAGGGAGGCACACTGCAAAGGGCAAAATGTTGTACATTCTCCTCCCTCCAGGGACCAGAGCTGTGGCTGGGAGTAGACAGAGTCAATCCAGTGCGGTTCTTTGAGCCACCTGTCAGCCATGTCCACCCCCTGATGACCAAAAAATGCTGACTATGAAAGCAGTCGGGAGATGAGGCCAAGGAGGGTGTCACCTGCACGTAGCAGGGTTTTACTTTACAGCCTTGGTGGAAAAAAAAATTGGCACACTTTTTTGTTTTTTAACTTAAAAAGTTTATCATGTTCAATTGTGTTCACATAGTCCTAACAATTGTGTGTATGTGTACACTCGTGTGTGTGTGTCCATGTCTGTATAAAGAAACTCTTATTCTTATTTTTCCTCTTACTTTCCCTGGGAAGTGGAGGGGTAACCTTTCTTGCTTCCCCAGTAAGAAAGCACTTAGGGAAATAACCCAAGACTGGCCGCATCAGACCAACTCTGCTGGGCAATGTTTTGGAATATTCAGATCAGAGAGATGAAATCCCCCCTTGGAAACAGAACTTCCTGAATGAGGGGGTCTGCCTAAAAAGATGAGTGGGGGGGGGGCGCGCGGAGCAAGAGCATGAGAGAGAGAAAAAGAGAGAGAGAGCATAAAGTGGCACTGGGGCTTATGACGAGATGCCCTTAGGGAAAATATATCCTTGTCTGTGACACAGACTGAGAGAGACGATGAGCAACTAGCAAACTGCCAAGAAACAGGAGTTCCAATAGCTGAATGTGCCTGAACACAGAGCTACAGTAACCGATGCTGTCTATGCAACTGGGTTACAAGCCACAGCCTACCCACAGGCTGGTGAGGAGGCTTGTGATAGTGACGGGGGAGCAGAGACACCAAGCCTGATGAGCCTTCTGCTTGTTCGCTTGATGACAATTTTCTTCCAGCCACAGGATTCTGCATCCTTTGCAACTCACAGTGCAGTATTCATGCCAATTTTTAAATTTGTTTTTAAATTTCAGTGGTTCGAATATGAACCAGTTTCCATAAAAAATCCAATTGGCCATATAAAATGTAACTGCACACACAAGACTCTAACATTGTAAGCTTAGATTTGTTTCAGTATTATCTACTTATTGCAAAAAGAGCCTTCTTTTCTTTTTCATTAAATAATCAATTATCACATTAGTACAATACAATTTTACATTTTTAAATATACTATATATGTTAAGGATAAGGGGTGACATTTTCCTCCTTTGTAACACCTGTTTCAAGAGTTTAATGAATTAGGTATTAGTTTCAACCTTGAGGGGGGAAAAGGTACAAATTTGTCTCATTAGGATACTTCTACCAAGTATTTCGTAAGGCTATAGTTTAACATTTGGTTTTAAAAAGAAAGAAAGATTTCATTTAAAAAATAATTTAGTGAATTACATTCTTCCATAACTTCCACCCTAATTAGTTACAAAGATAAGTCTAAAGAATCTTAGTTTTCCTGTACTAATTTACATTTATATTTAAAGATTAATTTTACTTGTATCTTAAAACAAGAATTTCATGTTGGAAAAACAAAAAAACAAAACAAAACAAAAAAGAACTAAATACATTGTATAAGGGCAGTCAATGCCCTGTGGCCAATCCTCTGTCTCAGCGCTTTCTACCACAACAGGAAACAGGTCTGCAGAGAGAGAGGCTTAGCTTAGGCTGGTAAGATTCACCGTCCCCAAGGAATTGTGGGTTGCAGATCTGAGGAATACACAAAAAAACTGCATCACAACTTCACAGCTACAATGATAGCATGAACACATGAAAAAAAATAATAAGTTCACTCAAACAGGATTTAGAAAAGTCAGGGTGTGCCCGGAGGGCCAGGCAGCACCCTGTGTGGTGAGGTTTACAGTCAGTCGTTGATAATGGAGAGTGTGTGCACATATGTGTGTATATACAGATATCTATATATATAAATAACCAGGTTCAGTCCTTCACAAGCCTGTAGATGTGATGCTGTGCTCCGTGTTCACTATTTGATACTTCAAATACACAGGCCATGCAGAGGAGAGTTTCTTGTGTATCCCTGTTTGTTACCACCTGTTAAAAAGAAAAGGCAAATGAGAGCATGGCCCAGCAGGGAGAGGCTGTCTTCAGATGACAGCAGGTCAGCTTGGAGACCCGATCAGCCTCACTCTGTATCCTCCAACACACTCAGGAGATTGCAAGTCCCACTGGACCCCCACCTAAGCCTGGCACCATCCACAAGACCTTCTAGGTGGGCTCCCATCACCTGCAACCATCAGGTCACCTGCAAGAACTGGGGTGGCTTCCGTGTTCAGGGCTAATTTGTTCATCATCAATAATCCTCTCTCACAGGACACTCACATGTTTTAAGTGATTCTCATCTGTTTTAGTATTTTTACCTTTATTTGAATTTACAAATAATTGTATATATTATAGAGTCATGCTGTGTTACACTGTGAAATGGCTAAGTCAAGCTAACTAACTATGGTCACCATATTTATATATTTGTGTTAAAAAAACATTTAAAATCAGGGACTGGAGAGATGGTTCAGAGGTTAAGAGCCCTGGCTGCTCTTCTACAGGTCCTGAGTTTAATTCCTAGCAACTACAAGTGGCTCACAGCCATCTATAACGAGATCTGGTGCCCTTTTCTGGCGTGCAGGTGTACATGCAGGCAGAACACTGCATGCATGCATGCATGCATGCTAGATAGATAGATAGATAGATAGATAGATAGATAATTAATTAATAAATAAAAACATTTAAAACCTCATTTTCCCATCTAACGTTTTAACTTGAACTAAATTTTATTTCTTAACAGCCAATGACAGAATTAGCTTTATGGGCCCCTTAATTAGCATACCACATTAGCAGCACCTAGTAGATGCAGCAGATGTGTTTGCTGTGTAAAGGACAGCGGTGCAGGCAAAACTCCTGTCTGTTGCTGCTGCTGTCTGTTGACACAGGCTGTGCCTCTTGCAGTGTGTTAGAAAACACCCACCTATTCCTCTCAGGTCGCTCTCCCTGACACCCATGATCTTGGCCTCTCTTGGATCTGACCTCTGGCCTTGCTCCTCACACTGGCCTCAGGGGCCCCCCCATGCCACCTCAGAAGGAACACTTTGAAGGACAATCTGATCAAATGTACAGCCTCACAATGCTTCAATGGTTCTCTGTGACTTTCATGTTCAAGAATGTTTTGAACTTGAGTGCCTTATCTAGCTTGTCAAGGGTCTAATTTCCCCTCTACAATGGTCTGTCTCACCCAGAGTTTCCCTTGCCTTCAAGCACCCAAGCTCAGGCAGGGTCCCTGGCTAAAAACATAAAGGCTCATTTCTGATTTTCTCCATGGAGTTTTGTGACTATGTGGAACCATGTGGAAAACACTATAGACTGGTGTTTTTCAGTGCCCAGCTCATCTGGTAGACTATGAGGAGTTGGGACCATGTTTTCTAGTTAACTAGCTCAGGCATGGAACGCCATGATCAAACTTCTGCTGGGTGAACAAAGCTTACAATGGCCACCAATGCTGTGTGCCCACTATGCATGTGCCATGGTATGAAATACTTGACACAGACTGTGTCTCATCCATCCTCCCACCTCTGACTGGGTCTACTGTTCCCCATGGCAGAGAGGAGGCGGGGGTGCCCCTGGTCTAGACTAGTCAGTTCAAAGCGGCTACCTCACCTGTAGGGCTTTCCCACCTATGGGCTAGGTCCCTATGCACCTCTCTGCCAGCGTCTGATGAAATTTTATTTTCCATTCATTTACTGGAAAAATGCCTGTACCACTCACCTAGTTTATTACAGTATTCTGAGCTCCTGACACCCATGTATGCACTTAGATAAAAGTTTCACTGGCTCAGTAAATGTGAAAAAATGCCTGCTGATTCTGCATCGTAAACACCTTCTTTACCATCCCTGAGAACCCTCCCCCACCTCTCTCTGGGTTTCCAGTGTTTGGATCAGGAACACTCAACAATTTAAATGAGCGTGTATCATAATCTGCCCACTTGCTTCTTTTACTCAACAGAGCGTAAGCTACCATGGTACACTGCGTTCTTAAATCACCTCTCAGCAGCCAATGCTACTGCCTGAGGGAATTTAAAGATTCTCACTAGTTCTCTTGGAGGTGCTATGCAGATCTGAAGCCTCCACCTGGCTTGGCTGGACACAAAGCAGAGGGATCTTCAGTTCAAGTTTTCTGACGTCATCACTCAATCTATGTTGATCAGTATGACCCTGGTGGGTCACAGGGATTCCTTAACCACAAAAATGATACTGGTAAGAACTTTTTTATGTTTTTATTACTATTTGTTTACACGTACTTGTGTGTATGTCTGTATGCGTACACGTGCCTGAGGTTAGAGGCATCCCCTGAAGCTGGAGTCAGAAGCCATTGTAGGCTACCTGATGTGGGTACTAGGAACTGAATCGGGTCCTCTGAAGGAACAATACATGTTCGTAACCACTGAGCCATCTCTCCAGCCCAAGAATTGTATAGTAACATTTACAAAGGGTCTTCATATCTAGCATGATGCTTGGAATTTCTAAGACACACCCCTCTTCTTATAAATTCATTCTTTCATGTATGGTAGGCCAAGTTCTCTACTACTGAGCATCCCCAGGCCTCTTTTCATTTTGCTTTACAATATTTTATTTGATTTTATATGTTTGAGTGTTTGCCTGTACCTGTGTGTATGTGACATGGGGCCCTCAGAGGCCAGAGGAAGGTTGTTAGAGCCCCAGAACCTGGGTCCTCTAAGAGCAAGTGCTCCTAACTGCCAAGCCAGCCCTCTAGCCCCATCCTTTCATTATTTCTTTTGAGACAGAATATCGCTAACATGCCTAGGTTGGCCCTGAGCTCTCTGCAGCCCTGGTAGACCTTGAGCGTGCAATCCTCCTGCCTATAATCTCTACATGTTCAGCTCAATTCCCAATGCAACAGGAGACAAGCAGAGCACCCAGCCTACCAGTTAGCATGTTCTTAAATCGACCCTGATAACCCACTTTTACTTAGCAAAGTGGTGGTCACCAGCTGCTAACAGGAGCCAGAAAGGACAATTTCTACTGTCCATCAAGTGAATGGTTTAATTTTTGTAATCCTGAAGTCCACTCTTTTCTAAGAAATAATAGTTCTAAAAAATTTTCTTCGCAATTATTAATTGCTTCTATCAAATATTTTTACTGCTTAATGATACTTCTGTTGTTCCCTCAGGTTTCCTATAGCCTACGTTGGCCTTGAACTCCTGATCTTCCTACTTCCATCTGTCAAATGCAGGGGTCAAGTGGTGTTTGTGTGTTTATCATTATGACTGGCTTTAATAACACATTTTTACCAAACCCAGTGAGGTCCATGATAGCTCTGCTGGTGGAAGTCATATGTCCCAGAGGCCTGTTGAGGAGAATTAGATGTCAGAGAATTGGCTCTGACATCTCAGGGCTATATTTAATTTAGCCAGGCTGTCTGAGGCAGAGTCCAGACTATCACCGTCCTGAACCTGCAGTCCTGTAGCCACCGACCTCGGAGTTCAAGTCATCGAGGTGATTTTAAAGTCTAGGAGAGTAGAGCACACTCCCTGCCTGCTCCCAGGCACTGAGGCCTACACTTGCTTTGGTTTTGTGTGTGGGCTTAGGCCGGAGCCTGCTCTGTGACCGCTCTTCTACCGAAGTTCCTGCCTTTCTTTCTGAGATAGGACCTCTGTCTGTGGAGCTCACTGATTAGGCTGGGCTGGCCGATGGCCTCCAGGGACAGAGCTGTCCGTCCCTGCCTCCCCAGTGCTGGGGAGTCAGACAGTACCACCAGGCCTGGCCTTCTGTGGGGCAGAGAAACAGTACTCATGCTTGTGTGACAAGCTCACTACTGACTGAGCCGTCCTCCCCGGTTCCCACATGCTTGGACTGCAGCAGGTACAGTTCTCAGACAGACACCTGTGCCCTGCCAACACGCACTCTGCAAATGGCACGTTTTCCACCGAAAGGATGCTGGTGACTGTTAACGACGGGAGCTCTACGTTTTCCCACACTTCCAGCTTCTACGCTTCAAGAATGCGCAGCTGAGGCCCCATCTGAAGGGTCTTTCTAGGGGAAGCCAAGCTCGACCTCAAAGCCCCGCCCATGCATGTGGATCCCAGGTCTGAGGTCTGAGATTGCAACCCCTGCTATGGCAGTGACTCCCAGTGCTGACTGTGCTAGGACTATTTAGGTTGCTGGGTTTGCACGGCAAGCACCTTTAGGGTCTCGCTATAGTCCGCCTGTCCTCATCTCCTGATTCCCCAGCCTCAGTCTCCCAGGCATGGGGATTACAGGCATGCACTACCACTTAAGGCTTTGTTTTTATTTTTAAATAAAAGGGAACAGGCGAAAGTGAGCCTTTCAAACAAACCAAAGTAGTATATATCTGACTGAGAATCACAGTGGAACTGACCCGCCAGGTAGGGGATTCCCAGGGTAAACAAACATTCAGGCTTCAGAGGGCTGTGTGACTCAGGGGTGCCCCTGTCAGTCCCTCAAGAAAACTGTTCTCACCAAGGTTTACTTTGACATTTGGACCTTCTAGTTTAATCAAGAATCCTGTGTGTGTGTGTGTGTGTGTGTGTATGTATGTGTGCATGTGTGTGTTTTAAATTTCCTTTATTTGCATTGGTGTCTTGTCTGCTTGTATGCCTGTGGGTGTCAGATCTTGGAGTTACAGACAGTTGTGAGCTACCATGTGAGGTGCTAGGAATTGAACCCAGGTCTCCTGGAAGAGTAGTCAGTGATCTTAACCACTGAGCCATCTCTTCAGCTCCTCAAGAACCTTTTTTTAAAAAAAGCCTTATAAAACCCATTACTGAATATTTTATGGACATGTGTTGAGGACAAGAGCCTCTGATTCTGGCAACTGATCCATAATTCTAATTTTTAAACATTCTTTGGGACTCTTCTCAATTTGGCAGCCATGGTGCAGAAGAAGCTTGGCCATTGTTTCCTATTACCTGTTCAGATTTCAGAAATGCCAGACGGGTGGACCTGTCTTCTAACCCAAGCCTCAGTATGCTCCAGGTTTGTTCGTTGGGTCATGTAATTCAAGTGCTGCCTGACCACTAGATACCCAAGTACCCTTGCTGCTGTCCCACCCACCTTTCTTACTGTCCCCAACAAGCCTCAGCACAGACTCTGCCAATACCAAACCAGGAGAGAGACAAACATTACCAATAAAATGGTGAAGTTTTCCAAAACACTGTTCATCATATATTTCTCTGGTAAGTGTTTGAGCTTATGAATGAAGTTGATCATATATTCACACATTGGCGAGCGGTTTATTCGGTATACGAATCGGCCGTTCTCGAACCTGGCATACTCCGTCTGCAAGGAAAAGAAGGTTTGAGTATTTTTACGCTTCAAAACACAGAGTATGGTTGCTTCTGAAAACATGTACTTTTCAACATGAGCCATCTTAATATGCTGTTATTTGTGTATATTAGCAACAAATTCTACCTCCAAATTTACTGGTATATACAGAATCCATTATTTTCTGCAACTTTAAAAAAGGTTGTAAAGGGTGATCTTTACAGCATTTACACAGAAGTGTGTGTGTGTGTGTGTGTGTGTGTGTGTGTGTGTGTGTGTGTGTGACATGCTTCATGCAACCCTAAGTAAGAGGTAGAGTAACACAATGTTAGAGGACACTATTCCAGCCCAGAAAATACAAACTGCTGGTACTGAAGCAAAAGGAGCGCTGAGCATGGTGAATGGAGACTGCCGAGCTGACTACTTGGCCTGAGCACACAGACAACCCAGGACCTGAAGGGAGGAAGCACTGGAGTGAAACTGGAAAATCAGCTATGTTGGATACTCTGAAGACAGATCATCTTTGAGACAGACCTCTCTATGTGACCCTTGCTGGCCTGGAACTAGCCACATAGACCAAGCTGGCCTCCAACCTACTGGGAGTAAAGGCATATACCACCATGCATAGCTCTGAAGACAGACCTTTGATCTAGATCTTTAAATCAGTCAGCCTCAAAGCCAAAGCCTGTCTGTTATAGAAACCAGACTAGAAATATGAAACTGACACACAAAAAATATTCAGAATCTAAAGAAACAAATCAATATGATTAAAACCATGAAATCCTACAATGGAACAAAAAAATACAAATGCATTTAATAATAATACATCATTTTAAATGTAATTATACCATTTAAATTGTCTGCCTTTCTTTACAGTAAATAAAGTATACACTGTCTGGAAATAGGAAGGCTGGCTCTTAGCAAAGATAGAAAAAGAACAGTAAGAGCAGTTTGCTGCTCCTGAACCTAGAACCTAGTTACAAAGTTACCATGACTAAGGCCACAGGGTACTAGGCTACACAGTGACACAGAGGGTAAACAGGGCCCAGAGGCCCGTTACAGGGAAAGACTCAGCTGGAAAAAGATTAATATTTATTAAGTATATCTATTTTCATTTTTACTTTGTGTCACGTGTGTGTGTGTGGCTACACACGTGTGCAGGTCAAAGGAAAAGCTACAGGAGTTAGTGCTTTCTCTTCTTCCACCATGTGAGTGCCAGGAATTGAACTCAGATTCTTAGATTTGGCAGCAAGCACTTTACTCACTGAGCCATCTTGCTAGCTGATCCCCAAACCCCAGGCCCCACAATTTAATCCTAATTTTGTGTTTCTGCTACTGTCAGGACAGCCACACACCCTAGTTTTATAATTATCCTTAATGCTCAGGATTCCCAACTGTTATTTCCTGTCTCTCAAGACTACTCTTGTGTCTATAATTATACACTATTTGACCCTTGAAAAGGTACTTTCTGGTCATTGCTGCTGGCAAGCATAGAGAGTGACCTCTGGCTCTCCCTCCTCTTTAAGCTTTAATGTGCAGTTACTAAATTCCATTTAAAACCTCTTACTGGAGCCCCACTGAAGCCATTTCAGGAAAGCTCATGACCCCTATTAAATTCACCATCAATTCAACCCATCCGTATCCTTTCCTGCCTTTTTAACACCAGTCTCACATAGCCTGAGCTGTGTTCGGGAGGCCAAGGCAGGCCACACTGCAGGGCTCTGCCTAAGCTCTTAAATCCTTCCCTCTCCTGCCAGGCATCCACTAGGCTTGGTTGGAAGCTGTCTTGACATAGGCAGGGTAGGCTCCTGCACCAAAACTGTTGCAAAAAACCCCTCAATCTTCAGGTGGGGGGTGGGTAAGGTAGAAGACACTGGAAAGTAGTAGGTTAAGGGACTGCCCCCTACAAACCTTACCCACAAAAGCAACTAACCCCGAGAAGAAAAACATGTTTGTAAAAGAAGAAAGCATGAACTATGCGAGGTGAATGTAGCTATTTCCTAACATGAGATGAAGTGCCTTGAGTTTCTGTGTTTGTTTTGAGGGAAGGACTCTAGTTAGTAGCTGAGGCTGTCCTGGAACTAGGGAGGTTCATGCCTCAGTCTCCCAAGTGCTGGGATTACAGGCGTGAGCCAATACTCCTCACTGAAATTTAAACTAAAAACAAGTTTTGTTTTGTTTTGTTTTTTTTTAAAAGGTAAAACTGGCAAAGCAACAATATCAAACTCAAGGTGCCAGGTCTTAACAGGGGGTACCAGTCAGCTGTAGCCAACCTGGCCATCACCCACAATGCCTACAGCTAGGAAGTGGGAACATCTTGACCCAGAGGCCCTTCTATAACTCCAAGGAGGCCTCTCACCAAGGAGATCAGTACTGGCCAGCTGGGCAGGACCTCCCTCAGAGAAGGCCAGCACAGAATACCCTGTTTGCTCTCAGGTACTGCCCAGTCACTGTTACCTTTCCGGTGTAACAGGGAAGAGGCAGGAGTGGAAGAGAAAGGAGAGCTGAAAAAGTCCTTGTCTACTGGAAGGCCAGGCTGCCCAGAGGACGTTTCTGTAGCGGCCAACTTACCTCTACTTTTTCTACTACTTGTTTCCCAAAGGAACACACTTTGGTAGAACAGGTAACCGTCATGTTTTCAGAACTCTCGTACTGACTGCTCACACCATAAAAGGCCCCGGCATCATCTTGGATATTGCAGTTTAGGTCCGCCTGTTGGAAGGAATCAGGGACAAATTATTCTCATTCCCTACGCTCACAGTGGCAAAGAACAGAGTTAGCCATTGAACAGCTATGCCATGGACAAGAAAGAGATGCCTCTCTATAAATACCACCTTGATGAGAAGCCACTTCCTTTCCAGGTGGAGCCAAGGATGACCTTGAACTCCAACTCCTAAGTGCTTACAGGAATGTGCTGCCACACCCAGTTCCCAGTTCCCAGGGGTTGAATCCAGCCAGGGGCTCAGGCATGCTAGGTAAGGACTCTACCAGCTGAGTCCTGCAGGGGTAGGCTTTTGGGAAGTCCTCCCTTCAGAGGACATGCTACCAGTGTGCATTCAGCTTGATGTCCTTGCATTCAGTATTGCAAAAGGGCTGTACCCTTGTCATGAAAATTCTAGAAGTTTCTAAAATGTACAGAAAGCAGGGCATGAATTGACTATGTGAGACTTAAAAGAACAGGGCCCTGAAGCTGCTACAAACACCACATCCAGTAAGAAAAGGCTTCCTACTAATGAGCACAAAAGATGTTGAATCACAGCTACTCATGTCACACGTTCTCATGAATGGCCTACTATGTAAGGCTCATGCTGGACTTGATGGCTACACCCTAATGTGGGAGACAAGTACAGAGGAATGGCTATACAGACAGGGAGCAAGTGTCACACCAAGGGATGATGGGATGTCTTTGTTAAGGACCGGCACATGCGGAGGGGAAGGGGGCCTGGAGTGCTTCTTCCAGGAGGAGTTCCTGCATGAACTGAGGAGACCAGGAGGACCGACAGCCTAGGCTGTGGTGGGCTAAATTTAAGAAAAGGGGGTTGCATCTTGGAGCAAACCGTGGACCCTAGAAAATTCTGGTGCCAGGTATCAAGATTAAAGCAGAGCTTGCCAGAGCAATGTCTGCAGGGCATGGGGGGGGGGGGGTCATGCCCACGGGCTTAGGCTGATGGTACGGCCTGACTGTGGGGGATGTGCAACTCCCATGGCAGGAATGTGCAGCTTTGGTGACGTGACTAGGATTTTGTCCCTGTAAATGGAAGGATGCTCACAGAAAGGTGCCACGTTCTCCACAAGAGGCCCTCCCAGCCAGCCGTGGTAGGGCATACCTGTTATCCCAGCACTGGCGGAGCCAGAGGCAACAACTTGACAATACACACAATACACTCCTGTTCTGTAGGAAAGGAGGTTCCCAAGTGACTTTGTTTCTGCTTTAGAAAATCCTACCTTTAAAAGGGAATACTTGTAATTATAGGCATGGCAGCACACGCCTATAATTCTATCACTGATGAGACAGAGGCAGGAAGATCACCACAAGTTCAAGGCCAGCCTAAACCACATAGTAAGTTTCAAGTTATCCAAGGCTACTCTGGGAGATCCTGCCTCAGAGAGGGGAAAGAAAGAAAGAAAAGTGGGTAAACTGTTAGTTATTATTTAAAGAAATATGAGGCTGGGGTCAATCGATCTTCTCTGCAAGAGGTTTACTGAGAGGTATGGAGGGAGTGGGGGAAACAGGACATGGTGGGAGAGAGAAAGAGAGAGAGAGAGAATGAGAGAGAAAGAGTGAGAGAGAGAGTAAGAGAGAGACCATGTGTTGAGGTTGGCCCTTTAAGGGGCAAGGTAACCAACCATGCCTTCCAGGTGTGGCCACCTGGCCAGCGACACATGATGACACCATAAGTTGCTGGGTAACCCAGGAGCAGGTTGTATTCCAAAATACTAACATAAACTATGTGCTGAAAAGAAAACATAAACCAACTTCATCTTTTAGGGTAAACAACCTAGTTCTTTTGGGTTATTTTGAAAGACACAGTGAAGGAAACAAGCAGGGGATGAATAATGCCTAGGAAAGGATGGGGAGCTGATGGGACAGTGATGGAATGAAACTGTCCCTACAGAGTATTAATCTCAATTCAATTAAAATACCCTCAGCAACTTGTCAATGTACATACACAGCTTGAAAGTTTAGAATGACAGCCACGGTGTGACTTCAGTCAAGTTGATGACAGTGTTCAGTGCTCACACTCCCGCCCCTATGAGCTGAAGGGAAGATGCTGCCCCTGGTGGCCACAAACCTAGACTCCTAAGAAGAGTGGACTGGGTGCTCTCTTTCTTTACTCCCAGTGTTAACTGGCACTCTAGCTGAAATTTCAAACTCTAAAGAGAGAGAGGATGGAAGCGGCTGAGCCTATATCCTCACCATCTCTAAGCTACTGTCATTCACTTGCAAATCTGTTCTAGGAAACCCACGACTGAGGTTGTAGCTGAGAGGCACTGCCTGCTCAAAATGAAGCTGCATCTCCTGGGCTCAGACAGTTCCAAGCTGGCACACACTTAACTCGAGAAAAACAAACAAATAAAACCCTGTAATGTATTTGTGTGTTGCTAAAGTCTAGTAACATAAGCTGTGCATGCTAATTTAATGCATGTATGTGCTGTGTATAAAAAATAAACCTTCAATTTATCACTTCCTTAATGAGGAATTAGGCAAACAACCTGGAGGGGGGGTGTATTTTATAAGATGACTAAGAAGATGTACTTAGAACTGTGCCCACATGATAATAATAAAAAGAGGAGTTTTTAAAACAAATGGGTTTTGACACTGTCTGTCAATTCTGCATAGACAACAGCACTCTTAGCTTAAGCCCGCTGCAGATCAGGTTCATTTCTATGCTGCCCTGGGTCACTGCAGTGTCTTAGGACTATCCAGACAGTGCTGATGAGCTACCATCAAACTGATCCTCAAAAATGAAGTTATGGTCAGGAGTGGTGGAACAGCCGGGTTATCCCAGCAGCACAGAAGCAGAAGGACTGCAGCAAGTTTGAGGCAGTGTGGTCTACAATCAATTCAAGGTCAGGCAGGGCTACATAATGGGACCTGGTGGTCCATTAAAGGTCTGGAGGAGCTGGGCTTGGGTGGCACATGCCTTTAATCCCAACACTTGGGAGGCAGATCTCTGTGAGTTCGAAGCCAACATTGTGTACAGAGAGAATTTTAGGACAACCAAGGCTACACAAAGAAACTATGTCTTTAAAAAAAAAAAAAAAAAAAAAAGATTAAAACACTAGCTGCTTTTCCGGAGGACCTGGGTTTTATTCTCAGCGCTCAAAACTGACATGGAGACTTACAACTGTCTGTAATTCTAGTTCCAAGAGAACTGATGCCCTTTTCTTGCCTCCTTTAGTATCAGGTGCTCATGCAGCACATCAATTCCACAAGAGTAGATGTACCCAGGCATGCTAAAGAGACAGACAGACAGACAGAGAGACAAATAAATAATTTTTTTTAAAAAGGAAGGGCCAAGCATGGTAGCACACAGCTTTCATCTCAGCACTTGGAGGACAGGGGCAGGCAGATCTCTGTGAGTTTGGGCGAGCCTGGTCTACAAAGTGAGTCCAGGATAGGCAGGGCTACACGCAGAGAAAACCTGTCTGGACCTCCCACCTTGGAACCCTCCCAAAAAAGGGAAGAAATCTTGAAGGTGCTAGAACTGAAATTTAGTTGGTACAATGCTTGAGAACCATGCACAGGACCCTGGTTCAAATGCTCAGCACCTCAAGGAGGCAAAGATAGGACACTCAGGAGGCAGAAGGATCAGAAGTTCAAGGTCATCCTCAGTTACACAGTGCCAGTATGAGATGTATGTGGTGCTGTCTCAAACAAAACAAAGCTCAAGAAGTGGCCTCACACAGTGTTTACCCTGATACTGTTTGTCCTTCAGGCATTTTATTAGTGACACTCAGCCTTGTTGTTCATTCACCCTTGTTACTTTAGCACAGACAGGCTTCAAAACTTATTTTTCCTTTCTCTTACATGCTGAGAGAACTTAAAATTGGAGACATATATTTCAGAGTTTAGACTTTGAAAGGCTTCTCCAGTGAGTGGCAAAGAATACATTTGCAGGCAATATCACAACTGTTTTACAAAAACTATCCTTGCTGGGTGCGGTGACGTACCCCTTTGATCCCAATGCTCAGGAAGGCAGAGGCAGGTGGATCATTTTAAGTTTGAGGCCAGCCTGGTCTACAAAGTGAGTCCAGGACAACTAAGGCTACACAGAGAAAAATTCTTGTCTCAAAAAACAAAAAAACAAACTAAAACAAAACAAAGCTATCCTTGCACATGAAAAATAATTACGCAGTCACCAACTGTATCACAGATGCTCTTTAGGAATGTTCTAGGAGAAGAAACTGATGTGAACGATAGTTAGCCATCAGTTGATAGCACTAAAACTCTTCTAGAAAGAAATGTAGTCAACAAAAGAAAGAATACAAGCAATAAAAAAGGAGACAGTTGTAATGAATCTAGGGCTCACAGAAACTTGCTATCCAACCTGTTGACTTCCCCACAACCAAAACCACCCAACTCATGCAATTCTAAAGGCAAGAAAATAAGAAAGAAAAAGTATGCACTCTTGGGGGTTCAAAATATTCCTGCCAGTTTTTTTTTTAACCTAACAGGAGTGTTTTCTGAAAGCAAATAAACACAAAAGAGTAGCAGAAGAAAACCCATCCTCTTGCTGCAGATGCTCTCAAAATGCATCCTGTAGCCTGGCTAGTTGAACAGGTTGACTGGAGTGGGCTCTGAAAGGAGAGGGGCGGACAGCACAAGGAGGCAGCCCTTCTGAGAAAACCATTCAGTTGCTCTACAGATGAATGGACTTCAGGGTTCAACTATTTGTCCTCTGTGCAGAAGCCTCTTTGGCAGGCCCCAATGTCTAAGTATTTCTACACATTTCTTCAGCAACATTGCAGGATACAGTCAATGGTCTCATTAGTTCCTTTCTATCCAATGTGCTTCTTACTGCTGCTGCAACAAACTCTTGTCTTAGTTGGGTTTCTACTGCTGCAACAAAATACCATGACCAAGAAGGAAGTTGGGGAGAAAAGGATTTATTCAGCTTACACTTCCACATCGCTGTTCATCCCCAAGGAAATCTGGACAGGAACTCAAACAGGGCAGTACCTGGAGGCAGGAGCTGATGCAGAGGCCA